AGTTGAACAGCACAAAGCCAGAGTTCAGTCAGAATCATCAAGGCAAGCTGGATATAGACAACAAAAAAACTTACTGAACAATGTCAAACCAGACTTCAAGCACAAAAATTAAGACAAATAACTTGCAGAGAGCAAGAAACAGAGGAGGAACATGATGTACGACTTCAGGCTCAAAGAACAAGACAAGCTCAAACACGATCTAATTGCAAATAAAGCTTTGTTTGATTAAATGCTTTTTTATTTCTCGCATCACAGCTTTTGTTTACTTACTGAATAATTTGCTGAAAAAATACTGATCTATACATTTCAAATCTAAATTTTCACAGTGCAACGCCAGGTAACTCAGCGAGCATTATAATAAAACTGTTATTCACGTGGCACAATAACAAGCATTTTCCCTTTCAATTGTGATGATAATTATTTTATATTTTAGATGTGAATTATCTTGAATTTATGCGTGAGAAAATTAAGCTCTTGGTTTTAGTTGTAGAATAAAATCATACAAAAATATACAACGCTTTTGCCGATTCATAATTTGGGGATGTAAATTTTGTAGCAGATTTCATTTCTCACATCTTAAAGGAAAACTATATGCCTGTTGTAAGAACGAATTTACAGTTCTACCTTTGCAACGTTTTTAGTTACTTTACTTTTGCGAAATATCTTAACTTTACTTACAACGCGGCGCCCACGGTAAGTCTGCAGGCTTAAGACGCTAAAAATCAGATTTTGGTACCCGTGGTGGGTAGAGCACAGTTAGCCCATTGTGTAGCTTTGTGCTTAATTACAAACAAATACAATGCGGTTGGTTGTTTGTTATTGTTAAGCCCAAAGTTACACAATGGGCTATCTGTACTTTACCCACCACGGGTACCAAAATCTGCTTTTTAGCGTCTTAAGCCTGCAGACTTACCGCTGAGCCACGGGGGGCTTATTTACAACGATACGTGTGAAACTCCGACAATTGCTTCTGTGAGGTATCTTGGAACTTTAGCACTTTTACATAGCCATGTTTATTTGCTTTTTAAGACGAATTCTAAAATGTTAATGATTTTGATTAAT